CGTTCTGGCAGCTTTAATTCCGGCGGCGCAAATAGCCCCGCCCCCCCCCCCCCGCGTTATCCGGCCCGTGTGACTGGGGCCTTTATTTATTTATGTATTAGATTTTTTTAGTCGCCACTCATCCGAAGGGTCTCGTGGCAACTTACAGCATTAAAACCACTACCGTAAAAACAATATAAAAGAAATAACAAATATAAAATATGAACATTAAAATATTTAAAAGCATGGCTATCACCATACCACTATTAAAACAGCCCAAACATGTGGTTACCGTTCAAAATCCAACCTAAATAATTCAGCTTTGCATGCCCTGCAGAAACTTTGAACTGGATCTGAAGAATAATTTCCAGACATTACAACAATAAGCCGTACCCATCCTTTCACTCTGAATTAATTAAACCACCACAATAATCCCTATGTCAAGGTACTCCTGTACATAAATTACAGTGAACACATATACGATCCATGTATGCATGGGGTTTTTTTGTATGTCTGTTGAGCATTTTCTTTATTACGTTCTACACTTGTAGGGCTGCATGTGTGATTTAAGCGCATACGTTTATCCAGGGCAGTGATTTTAAAAGTGAATGTAGCATTGGCTCTTTTTTAGGTGCTGTGTGATGTACAGCATTCACTGGAGCGTAGGCTAGTCTCTTTGGAGATTAGAATCAGCCACAACAGACACTGAAAAAGGGTGGATGGGGAACCTTGACTCATTTAACAGTGAATGAGATTACATTAGAAGTAACTCATCCATGTGACGTGATGCTCAAAACATTGCACTATGGGATGTGGAGGATGGGACAAATATCTCCTCCCTGTAGAAGAGTAGTCAAGGAACGCTTGCCCTCTGACATGGGACCACTTCATAGAAAAGTCCCTTCTGCCTTGGGAATCCCACCAGTGTGACAGGTGAGTGGGACCAACTTCCTGATAAAAGTGTGTAGGAGGACACAAGTGTGTGAGTGCTCAGAGGGGGTTTAGGGGCAGCCTGCAAATGTTATCACACCACGCCTTCTTGCTACTCTAATTTAGAACAACGATCTTAAATCTGATCTCTCTCTTGAAACTTCAGGTATCTGGGATGGAGGACTTATCAGGGCATTATGACTTCTACATCGGGCTGGGCCTGGCCCTCGGCTCCAGCCTGTTCATTGGAGGGAGTTTCATCCTAAAGAAGAAGGGGCTTCTCAGGCTGAGTGGCAGGGGCTCTGTCCGAGCAGGTAATGACAAAATTTATTACTGAAGCTGACAGATTCCGGAGGTTGGGGGGTGGGTGGGATCCCAAGTACCTTGTGGCTAATAGCCACTGATGGACCTCTGCTCCATATGCTTATCTAATTCCCTCTTGAAGCCGTCAATGCTTGTAGCCACCACCCCCTCCTGTGCCAGTGAATTCCATGTGTTAATCACTCTTTGGGTGAAGAAGTACTTCCTTTTATCTGTTCTAACCCGACTGCTCAGCAATTTCATGGAGTGCCCACGAGTTCTTGTATTGTGAGAAAGGGAGAAAAGTATATCTTTCTCAACCTTCTCGATCCCATGCATAGTCTTATAAACCTCAATCATGTCACCCCTCAGTCGTCGTTTCTCCAAGCTAAAGAGCCCCCAGCGCTTTAACCTGTCTTCATAGGGAAAGTGTTAGTGTTAGTAAGCATAACACGATCAGACACTTCTTGTCCTCTAGCTGAAAGAACTTCTTTGTGCTTTCGGCTTCCCAAAGCAAGCCAGCTTCCGGCCTTCCTTAAACCACTGCATATTTCATTACAGTGCAGTTTTAGCTGCCTACTTCCTGAATGAGCGGCTAAACGTCCATGGCAAGATCGGCTGTATTCTCAGTATTTTGGGCTCTACCGTCATGGTGATCCATGCCCCGCAGGAGGAAGAGGTCTCCAGTCTGGAGTCAATGGCAGAGAAACTGAAAGATCCAGGTACCAAAACACATATATGAACTCGTTATTTGAACGAGGAAAATAGTTTGTTGGGGAAGAACGGTACAGCAGTCAAATGTCATTCCCTGATTCCACTCAAGAGAAAGTTTCTTGTTCATCCAGAACTGGTAACCTGCAAGTGGAGAATTCTTTGGAGCACATTTTGTTTCTCCCCTTACCCACTGTCCCCCATTGATGACATTTATTTGAGTTCTTGTAGCACAGCAATTAAGTAAGAGAGGATCCCAAAGCACACTGCATGGTGAAAAATTACTGGCAGTGATAGCTGAAGGAAGAAAGTACGAATTTTGATCAGAGGGTTGGGTCCCATAGAAAATATTATTTTGCAGGGGGGGAGATTTTCACTGTTTTTCCCACTGCAGACCTACAGCTCCTTGAACCTGCAAACTTGAAAGTTTTTAAGCACAGGCTAGATGGCCATCAGACAGCAATGCTGACTCTATGACTTACTATTAGTGATGGGCACAAACCTTGCCACAAACCTAATTTCGTCATGGACATGGCTGGTTCATGAGGCCTTGGTTCATGAGATCGCACCACCATATTTTTCACAGAGGTTGGTTAGGTTTGTGGCAGCAGTTTGTGAGCCAGACACGCAGGCGCCAATCAATTAATTGTCAAAGCAATGGGGGGGGGGTGGACTTGGCATCACCAGCTGCTCGTGCTGTACTTGCCCATTGACTTGGTTTTCCAATTTGCCACCTCCCTCCCATGCCAGACCTCCCCCCCCCTTTTTGAACTTTGGACCCTAAGATCCTTGACTTCTGCTCCTCCGGGCACCAGCTGCCCTTGCTGTATCTGCTCATCAAGTTGGTTTTCCAACTTGCCATCCCTCCCCCCTGCTCTTGTAGAGCAGCATCCTGAGGAAGTCCACTGTGAGTTTGATGCCTCTAGCTTACAGGGGGTCTGTTCTGTTCGAATCAACACACTCCTGAACCTGTGGCTGGTGTGATTTCCCCAGAGAGCACTTTTCTGGAGATACCTGCTTTGGTGTCCAATCCTCACCAAACTTGGAGGGCAGGTAGAGGAGAGTAAGCTGGAGACTTGCTGTGAATTTGCTGTCTCTAGCCCATGGGTGGGCCTGAACCTGTGGCTGGTGTGATTTCCCCAGAGAGCACTTTTCTGGAGATACCTGCTTTGGTGTCCAATCCTCACCAAACTTGGAGGGCAGGTAGAGGAGAGTAAGCTGGAGACTTGCTGTGAATTTGCTGTCTCTAGCCCATGGGTGGGCACTCTGTGGCATCATAAACCTAATGAAATGAACCGGCTCTGTAAACAGGAAGGTTCATGAAGGTTCGAGATTCGAGTGAGACCCCACGAACTGGGATGAACCTCCATCCCTACTTACTATAATATGAATGTACAAAGCACGAAAATCACTGGCTAAAGATAAACAAAAATGTATTAAAATAATATTTAATGCCGAGTTCAATAATACAGTCATATAACTATATAAAGCCAAGGTGTTCTTACAAGAAACAACAGTAATACAGAAAAATAAAGTCACCAAAATTTCAATGTGTCTCACTCCTATTGTATTGTAATTCCATAGCCCATCTTGACTTGAATACATAGTTCACCATAGAGTGGACTCATACAGTTCCTGGAAAATCCATATAATCTTGAAATCCATAAACCATAGAAGAGATGTGTAGTCCGGATGCAAGCTGCCACGTTTCGAATAATTCTTTTTCAAAACCAATAGGCTACAGTGGGACCCAATCTCAGTAGAAGCACATACAGAAGCCAGTTTATTCTGTCACAAAGGACCACTACACCAAACCTAATACAGGAAACCACTTTTCTACAAATTTGGGGTAAATTTCTATAGTGGGTGGGAGTGTGGCTAAGATGGGTCAGCAGCATCGCTAAGGTGATCCTGCTGGGGTGGCCTCCCTGATTAAAGTACCCTGGCCCTACACCTGACAAACACCCGACTGTTTGGTGTGTGTGGGGGGATTGTGTTTAAAGGCATGAGGGAGGCTTGGCCAGCAGCAGCACTAAGGAAATCCTAAGCAAGCCTCCCCTATGGCTTTAAGGACTCTGCACCCCTTTCAACCCTTGACAGGCAGTTGTCTGTCAGGTGTGGCAGGAGTAGCATGTCTGAAGGCATCAGGGATGCAGGGCCAGCAGGATTGCTAAGGAGATGCTGCTTAGGTAGCCTCCCCAATGGATTTCAGTGCTCTCCCCCTGCTCCTGCACCTGACAGACAACCGCGTGTCAGGTGGAGGAGGGGTGTGTGGGAGTGTGTCTAAAGCCACTGGGGAGGCTGGCCCAGCAGCATTGCTAAGGTGTTTCTGCTTGGGCAGCCTCCCTGATGGATTAAAGTACCCTGGCCCTGCTCCTACACCTGACAGACACCCACCTGTCTGGTGTTATGGTGGGGGAGTGTGTTTAAAGGCATTGGTGAGACTGGGCCAGCAGCAGTGCTAAGGCGATTCTGCTGAGTAAGCCTCCCTGATGGCTGTAAGCATCCCACCCCCTCTCCTACACTTGACAGGCAGCTGCCTGTCTAGTGTAGGGGGGGGGGGGGTATTGCAAGCCATTGTGGAGGCTGGGCTTGCTCCCTGATGGCTTCAAGCACCCTCCAACCGCCTGTCAGGTGTGGGGAGGTGTTTGAAGTCACGGGGAGGCTGGGCCAGCAGCATTATTGCACCTCACAGGTGGTTGGCCACTCCTGATTTCTTCAACTGTCATTAGCTCTCTGCAGTCTCCTGTAACTGGTTTTGTTTTTTTTACCTCAGAACACTGAGCTCTGCAGCTGACCAATCAGAGGGTTGGGGGTGCAAGGAGGCAGCAGCCTGGCAGCCACATAGGAAGCAACGGGGGAGCACATTTTACCCCTTTTGACCCCCTTAGGGGTTGAATTTCTAAAAAAATCCCTTCTTACAGAGCATCTACGTCATGGTAGGAACGCTCTCCCCGAATTCCATGTTTCTAGATCCAGGGGTTTGGCTTGGGTGTTGATTTTACAGTGAGGGGACTTTCTTTTATATATATATAGATTAAGAGCTTTTACAAGGTATTTGAAGAGGGGCTGTGGCTTACTGGCAGAGCATCTGTTTGGCAATGCAGAAGGTCCCAGGTTCAATCCCCAGCATCTCCAGTTAAAAGGATCAGGTAGGGGGTGATGTGAAAGACCTCAGCCTGAGCCCCAGGAGAGCCACTGCTGATCTGAGTAGACAATACTGACTTTGATGGACCAAGGATCTGATTCAGTCTAAGGCAGCTTCATGTGTTCATATGTTGGTATAAAGTCGAGCTGCTTTGGCAAGCCCTCCTTTTGAGGGCCGCAGGAAAAGATTTTGATTCACTTTGAGTGAAAGAATAAGCCTGGACTGGGGAAGTCTCACTGAGGTTTGGTGGCTTTGGGATTTCGGCCTTCTGAGTAAATTCCTAACCCAGGGAAGCCGGCGTTACCACACCAGGCAACACCAAGCCAGTGAACTGTGCTTATGATGCCAAATGTCCTTAACGATTTCTCCCTCTTCCCAGGATTCATTGTGTTTGCCGTGTGCGTGCTGGTGAGCTCTGTTCTTCTCATCTTCGTGGCCGGGCCTCGTTATGGACAGAGCAACATCTTAGTGTACGTTCTGGTCTGCTCCGCCATCGGTTCGCTCTCAGTTTCATCCGTCAAAGGCTTGGGCATTGCCATTAAAGAGCTCTTCGCTGGGAAGCCTGTTTGGAAAGAACCGTTGGGCTGGATCCTCTTGGTGTGCCTCGTGATCTGCATCAGTATCCAGATCAACTACCTGAACAAGGCCTTGGACATCTTCAACACCTCTGTGGTGACTCCCATCTACTACGTTCTCTTCACCACCGCCGTTATGACCTGTTCGGCCATCCTCTTCAAGGAGTGGCAGCACATGGTTCTGATGAACATCATCGGCACCATCAGCGGCTTCCTCACCATCGTGTTTGGCATCTTCCTTCTGCACGCTTTTAGAGACGTCCCCTTCACGGCAGACCTGCTGCCTCTGTTCCTGAGGCGCGACCGAACAGACGTGCAGGCAGCTTCTTGGAGAAAGGGGGACAAGAACTCGTCCTGCCTTCACCAGCCCCTTTTGGAATCAGAGGACAGGCTCAGAGAGGGGGGAGAGAAAGCAGAGGTGGAGGGAGACCAGAGTTTCTGAAAACTCATGGACTGTTGGCTCCGACAGCAAACCAGCCTTGGTGCTCTTCCAAAGAACTTGACTGCTGCTGCTGCTGCTTTTGAGCAGACCACTTGAATCCGTCATGGGTTACCCTGCAGTACTATTTAACTGGTAACCTGCTTGAACCCAATCATGGGTTACCCTGAAGTACTTGAGAAGACTATTTAACTGGTAACCTGCTTGAACCCAACGATAACAGTTAGTTCGAGCGCAGGCTCACAGCTCTCATCTCACCTGGCTTCAGTATTGTCAGTTGTCTCCCTTCTCTCCGGGCTTCCATCAGTAGCCTGGAGGGAATTGGAAGAAGTCAGGCAGATCGGACGCCAAAGAACTATGCAACTTTTCCTCTGTCCCTGAGGAATCCTTGCAGTCAACCCTCCTGCGGCTTTTCCTCTGTCCCTGAGTGGGTTTCTGAGGAATCCTTGCAGTCAACCCTCCTGCACAGTGAAAACAGCTTTTGAAACTGCCTATAGTTCAGAAGTGTTTGATGATGGGGAGTGTGTAGTGCTCCAAAGGTGGGGGGGGGGAAGGCCAACACTCTTATAAGGTGCACACAAGCCTTTGGGCGTACCTAAAGCATCTTTGAGAGGGTTCCCAGCCAGAGGCAGGAATGAATGAGGAAGAGGGTTCGTCTTCCTTTCACTCTTGGCTCTGATTCCTGGGCCATTTCAGCATCTTAGACAGATGAGATAAGGCTCATATGACCAGGGGGAGCTTGCATGTGGGCAGTGAAAGGAACATACAGGAGATAGGAGGGATTCTCTTTGCATTTCTCCTCTTGGTCATTTTAGGGAAAAGGGGTGAAGACTCAGGGAGAGGAAAAACAGCAGGCGGCTTGGTCCTGCCACACAGTGGACCACTGATAAATTTCGGTGCTAAGCCAGGGCAGAGGAATGATCTCAGACCCTTTGTGTACATGTGCTTTTGAAAAACACCACATGGCTGCTTCATCAAAATCAGTGCGACTTGCATTCATATAAGCATGTTTAAGCCCACGAGCCTTATGAGAACGTAGCTATCGCTCTGGGTACGTGTGTCTAATCTTGGCAATAACCGTGTCCTACCACTTTCGGAATGTAAAGCCAATGCATTGTGGACGGCCTTAAACATTAACTTTAAACATTTTGAAGTGTTAACAGTTTACAAATGATTTAAAATGAATGTGTTACTTTTGTGCAGCATTGCAGCTCCCACAGTGGTAACACTTGTTGCAGACGTAATATATATGGCTTTTTAAAAAACCAAAAACCTGAGTTCGTAGCATTTTAGTTCAAAGTCATTTGTGTCTTTTGCTACCTATTAAGTACCAGTTTGGCTCAATGGTTATGAGTCATTTGTTGCTTCAGGCCCAAGACCTGTCCTGTGGTATTTGCCAATCTCCACATACTGTGGCTTTTTTGCCTCCAGAATTTCTCCTGGTGGAAAAATGAGATCACTTCTTTGAATCCCAGTCTCTTCTACACCCCCCCCCAGTCATGTCTGTAGAACAGCACAACATTTAGCCAGAGTCACTTGCAGCTGCTTGCCTTTTTTCTTTTAGTGACACACCATGCCTCATATTAAAAACTAGCCTGGATGGACACTTGTTGCCGTAAAGGTAAAGGTTTCCCTTGCTTGAAAGCTAGTCGAACCCGACTCTAGGGGGTGGTGCTCATCTCCGTTTCCAAGCCGAAGAGCCAGCACTGTCCAAAGACATTTCCGTGGTTATGTGGCCAGTATGACTAAACGCCAAGGCGCACGGAACGCTGTTACCTTCCCACCAAAGTGGTACCTATTTGTTTACTTGCAATTTTTTGCTTTCGAACTGCTAGGTTGGCAGGAGCTGGGGCCAGAGACAGGAGCTCACTCTGTCATGCGGCATTAGGGTCTCGAACTGCCGAGCTACAGATCTTCTGGTCTGCAGCTCAGCGTCTCTTAACCTCTAAGCCACCATGTCCCCTCACTTGTTGCCTTACACCACTATAAATGTGCAGCGATAGGAACAAAGATGCATTCACAGCAGAGGGAGATTCTCAGGAAATCCTATTACTGCCTGAGCCTATAAAGACTGATAGCAGCAGCACTTACCTCCTCTATTTTCCATAAACTTTTAAAAGCTCCTTTCCCATCCTCATTAGCTGCAGGATTCCTGTGGCTCTCCTCTACTACCTCCCTGTTATCCTTGCTCGAAAGCCAGTCGAATCCGACTCTAGGGTTGCGGTGCTCATCTCCGTTTCCAAGCCGAAGAGCCAGCGCTGTCCGAAGACGTTTCCGTGGTCATGTGGCCGGCATGACCAAACACCGAGGCGCACGGAACGCTGTTACCTTCCCACCAAAGTGGTACCTATTTATCTACTTGCAATTTCTTGCTTTCGAACTAAGTTGGCAGGAGCTGGAACTAGAGACAGGAGCTCACCCCGTCTTGCAGCACCCGGGTCTTGAACTGCTGAACTACTGACCTTCCACAGCCTGCAGTTCAGCGTCTTAACCACTTGAGCCACCTCTACTACCTCCCTGTTATCCTGGCAAGCATTCCAAAACTGCCTTTTAGAATTCAGGGTATGCCCAAGATTTCTTTTCTGGGTCCACCACATTGTCCTTCCAGGATATTGAGTGTTTTGGTACAGAATTCTTAGAAACTATGGAGTCTCAATCTGCAGGAAGACCACAAAATCCTTCCCCTCTCCCAAGCCATTTCCAGCCCCAGGAAAGTTTATTCCCATGGTTGAGGGACCTGCATGGATTTACAGCAGTGCTGGTCCCAAGCAGCACATAACAGAAACCATGTTGGATCAGGCCAATGGCCTATCCAGTCCAACACTCT